GGAGAGACCGGTCCTTGGAGAGGGACATCATGCTTGGGAGGGTGGAGGGACAGTGCAGGAGAGGAAGGCCCTCTATGAGGTGGATTGATTCAGTGACTGGGATAATTGGGTTGGGAGTGTCAGAGACAGTGCGATTGGCACAGGACAGAGCGGAGTTTAGGGCTGTTGTACATAGGGTCGCTATGAGTCGCAGGCGACTCGACGGCACATAACAACAACAACAACATACTTCTCTCTCCATACAGTTCCTTTGTTTACTGGCTCACAAGCTGCTTACCTACCTTCACTTGCTTGTCTATCTGGTGGCTTAGTGGTAGGAGTTGTGCTACCAGTCAAAAGGGATGTGGTTTTAATTCACCAGTCACTCTGTAGGAAAAGGATGGGTAATCTCCTCCTGTCCTCTGAAAACCTGCGGTGAGTTGTTTCTGACATACATCAACAATTTCTACCTACTTGTTTACTATTTCTAAGTTTAAAAAATTATCATACAACATACAATCTAAAGCACATATTTATTTGTAGCCCTCATGACACTCAGAAAGCTCTGAACCAACTGGCATAATATAGTCCACAAATAACTCAGCACTGGACAAAGAGGCAACATCATGACAGATAGAGAAAGGATTGAATGTGTCAGTGATTTGATCTTACTTGAATTCACACACCCTTGGTACCAGCAGTCAGAAGGTCAGGAGATGTGTTGCATTGGGCAACTCTGCTGTCAGGGGACTCTCGAAAATACATTTGAAGAACAATGATGTCAGTTTGAAAACTAAGGTATGCCTAATTCAATCCATAGTCTTTTAAATCACCTGCTATGCATCTGAGAGCAGAACAAGGATGGCAGAAGAACTTATGCCTTTGAGCTGTGGTGTTGGAGTACTGACTATCCTGCGGATGGCCAAAAGAATGAACAGGCATGTCTTGGAAAAGGCAGCCAAAGTGTTCCTTGGAGGAAAGGATGGTGATCATATTTTGGACGTATTACTGCTACTAGGAGACGTTATTCCTTGGCAAGGGACATCATACTTGGCAAGGTGGAGGAGGGTCAGCAAAAGAGACAAAGACCCCCAAATAGGTGAACTGATATAGGTGCTGCAGCAATGGGCTCAAGAATATCAGAGATGATAGGACAGGGTTCACTCAGGTTTGCTGGTCACAGGGTCACTTTGAGTAGTAGATGGCACCTAACCAACAATCATCTCTAACGGTGAAGATGATTCCAACTCTCATACAACTTAGTGGTTAAGGGCTGGCTTTGGACCTTCTAGCTGGAAGGATGAAAAGCCTAAGATAGTGGTTGCCTGGGGCCAGGGGCTGAGAATGCGCCACTGAAATGGTTACAGCACCACCTAGAGGCCCTACAGGGGAAACAATCTCTCTTAGTTTTGTTGTTGGGTTTTTTTTTTAAATTTTATTTTATTATTTTGTGCAAGTACCGTCAAATCAGATCTGTCTGGTACAGGAAGAGATTGTCCCTCCTTCTCCAGCAGAACATCTAGTGGATTCGAACAGCATACCTCTGGGATTGCAGTGCAGCTTCTTGCCACTAGGCTACCAGAGCTCCCTAGGAAACACACTCTCTTAACTAGACCGATAGACACGGGTAGCTGCAGCAATGGGCTCAGTGTGTCCAAAATGATAAGGACGTCATAGGATAGGGCAGCTCTGGTGGCATACTAGGTAAGGAGTTGCACTGTCATCTTAAAGACAAGTGTTTGAATCCATCAGCTGCTCCTCCAGCAAGCCCTTTCCGTTACCAGCTGGAAGGTTAGCAATGAGTTGGTTCTGACAGGAAGGCACAAAACAACAGAATAATATAGAAAGGCTGAAAAACGAGAGAAATTTCAACATTGTTGGTGACGATATACAACTGTGCAAACAATTTGGAAACATTTGTCCAAAAAGTTAAACATAAAGTCTCTAAAGGCATGCTTTGGAGACACTTCAGTCTTGATTCCATATCACCAGAGCAAAGTAGATTTGGAATGAGTCAGGCAAAGTTTTCAGTGTCCCAGTGCATATAGAAGTTATGTTGACAATAAACTATAGTCTGTTGAGTTTGTGATAACATTATGAAGAAATTGAAACAGCATAAGAATGACTACAGTGTGGTCACAAAGTAAATGCATGCTGCTGGAAAACTGGCACTGACGGGCTGGCTCAATAAAGGATTGTCATAAACCTTCAATGCGTAAAAAGAATTTTTAATAGAAATTTTACAAGCGTTCCTTGTGAGTGGGTTTCATACTTTGTGAGCACACTACACTAACACCTGTTAAATTGTTTGTTGCTGTTTTTCTTGTGTACCATCCAGTCAGAACCAATCCATAGCTGACCCTCCAGCAGTTTTTCAGAGGCAGTTAATTGCATGGCAGGAGACTGCTCATCCTTCTCCAGTGGAGCTGCTGGTGGATTCGAACTGCATGAACTTAATTTTACTTGAATCCACAATCAGCTCCCATGGAAACAGCAGTCAAGAGCAAATGATCTATTGCATTGGACCAATCAATGTGCTGCCAAGGACTTTTTTAGAGAGCCAAGGAACAAGGATGTCACTTTAAAGTCTAAGATGTGCCTGTTACATGGGAAACTTCAAAAACTAATAAAGAAGATCAAAGAATTGAAGCTTTTGAATTGTGATACGGGTCCAGGAAACTAGGAAGGTAGAAAGAAAAGACTAAAGAATCAAATTACATGATCTAAGAAAGTAGGTAAATAAGAAAGATAAATCAAAGAGACCTCCATACACACCTACATATTCTAGCATTGTAGTTGATTTATATTTAGTGACATATATAAAAAGCCATAAGAAACAGCAACGGCCTAATGTCTCAACTGCTAAGTGGATTTACTATGCAAAGGCATTTGACACAACAAACTGTGGCTGACTCTGAGAAGAATGGAAATCCCAGAACACTTGATTGTGCTTATGTGAAACTTATACTTGGACCAGGAGGCAGTTATCAGAACAGAGCAAGGAAACACTGCATGGTTCAAAATTGGGAAGGGTGTGCGTCAAGGATATCTCCATATCTTTCAATCTATATGCGGAATAGATTATCCGCGAGACTGGGCTCTATGAGGAGAAGTGTGACATCAGGATTGGAGGTGGACTCGACAATCTGCATTGTGCAGATGACACAACCCTGCTTGCTGAAACTGAGGAGGACCTGAAGCACCTGCTGCAGAGGGTCAAGGATTGCAGCCTTCAACATGGATTGAAGCTCAACATCAAGATAACAAAGATTCTCACCACTGGGCTGATTGGCGGCATCATGATGGATGATGAAGAGATTGAGACTGTTGACAGCTTCAGTTTGCTTGGCTCTACAATCAATACTCTTGGTACCAGCAGACAGGAAAGTAAAAGACGAATTGCACTGGGAAAGTATTGAGGAGCATTGGGAAAGTACTGAGGTGCAACAATGTCAGTCTGGAAACTAAGCTGCACCTGATACAGGTCATGGTCTTTGCAATTACTTGCAATGCATCAGAGAGCTGGACAATGACTAAGGATGATAAAAGGAGAGTGGATGCCCTTGAGCTTTGGTGCTGGAGAAGAGTATTGAACTTTGAACATGTTGTAAGGAGGGACAAGTCCTTGGAGAGAGATGCCATGCTTGGGAGTTTGAGGGACAGCACAGAAGAGGAAAACCCTCGATGAAATGGATTTATTCCGTTACTGGAGTAATGGGGATAGGCGTGTTGGAGACAATAAGATTGGCAAGCGATAGAGCAAGGTTTAGGTTTGTTGTACAAAGGGTTGCTATGAGTCGTAAGCGACTCGACGGCACATAACAACCACCACCACAACAACAAAACAACAAAAAACTAAGGTGGTTTTTGGAAGAAAAACAAGACCGCAAGAAACAAACATGTACAGTAGAGCAGTGACCTAAGATGGTGATTCAAAGAAAGGAGTGAGATTTGAAACAGAAGCCAGAGTGATCTACATGAGTCAACCCTCTATGATGAGTCTTGCTGTCACTTCCTAGACTCCTTTGCACCCAATTCTATTTTAAAGCTGTGAGCACAAGTGGAATTTCTCTAACGACATTTATCAAAGTTCATAAAGTCTCCAGAGGCATGTTGTTTAGAAAGTGGATGCCACTCCTGCTTCCAAACCTGTCTTAAACGGGGACCTACAGCTAATAATATAATGGTGATATTAAGACTGTATGCTGTACCTCTAAAATCAAGAAAAAGACAACAATGTCCGTTTTCAGCATCTGTAGTAAACAATGAATAAGTCAGAGTCTGGAAAAATGCTTATAGTCACGTAAGCTCACCCCACTCCCAATTAATATATAGAATAGTTGTCACTCCCTTAATTCCTCTTGCAAATAATGATTTGTTTACTGATCTGGTCCATGTCTCGGTAGCTGTCTTTTTAAATATGCCCTTTAAATAGAATCGCACCCTTTGGGGTCTGGGCTGGTCACCTCCCTCAACTACCCGGATGTACGCAGTCTCCAAGCATAAAATCAGAGGGCAGCCCGAGTTGTTAGTACAACCGCCGTCAGGCGCGCCCGGATCTGAAATGCTTTCCAGCCTGTCTCTGAGTAGTGTGTTCGCAGTTGAAAGGCTGGCCCGTTACAAGCGGGGGTTCAGCCATTTTATTCAGGCGTCATGCAATTGTAGTACATGACTGACAGTATGTAAACTGCCTAGCGCCGTGTCAAAGCACAAGATGTAAAAAACTAAAACCAAGCCCTATAGAACAGAGTAGAAGGTTCAGGGGGTTTCCAAAGCTTTAAATTTTTACAGATCGCCACATACTATCAGTCAGTGTCAAATGTAAAGACTCGACGCTCTGTTTTCAGGAGGCGCCCTGGCGGGGCACGCTTTTTGCGCATGTACCTGGCTCAGCAGCTTCGCGAGCCGCTTATGTTTGGCCAGGAACGCGCGCCGTCTGTTGGTTGCCATAGAAACTGGGAGCATTCGGCTTGCTTGTGCTCAGGTGCTGGCGGTAGCGACCCGGACTCAGGGAACCAGACATGTCTTTTCGCGACCTCCGCAGTAAGACGTTCTCTTGTTCTCGAGCCCCTTAGAGTCCGCCTGCTGGGCTTTCTGAGGCTGCCGGAGCCCCTCGGGCCTGGGAGCCGGAGGCGGCCCTAGCGCGGCCCTGCGCTGCCGGAGCCCCTCAGGTTTGGAACAGCGATTGCGATCTCTTGTCCAGTCCTCGCTCCTCTGGTGGGTCAGCTATGAGTTGGTTCTAATGGGACAGCAACAATTGAGTGACTGGCATATTATTGTAAATTTTTATATTAGTGTGTCATCCCAAGTTTGAAGACAGTGTGCACAACAGAGTTCTCTTCCATCTGAGTTTCGGGTGGGCCAGTACTCTGGAAAAGAGTATAAAAGAGAAAATCATGCTATGAAAGAGAAATTAAATTCACCAGCAATCCCTGAAGCTCATTCTAATGTATGCCTTTGACTGCTTCTCCCGTTGAATTTAACTATACCTTCTCCTCGTTTAATGAGATGGCGTACACCAAAGATCAGATTCCTGTGCCAAAATCAGTGTTAAGTTGAAATTAAGGAAGACTACATAATCAACAACCACTGAGAATCATAGCCCAATCGAGCTGACACAAAACCGTAACCTCATAGCCAGCAGATGACTGTGTCTAACACCTGGATATTCATTACTGCCAGGTGTACATGATAAGCGCAGAAACATAGATAGTAGGATTCTGGGTATTCTAAATATGAAATGTCAGATAATAATGAAGGTGGTGTAAGTGTTTTTCAGGTAGCAGATTCAGTGTTTTAAATTTTTTTTCTTTCTAAAAATGCAGATGAACATTAGTAAGAGGACAGGAAATAGATGAGTAAATGACTAAGAAGTTGCTGATTGTCTTTTTCTTTGGACAGATTTCACAGAGATGATGAGAGCCTTGGGGTACCCTCGGCACATTTCTATGGAGAATTTCCGCACGCCCAATTTTGGACTTGTATCGGAAGTGCTTCTCTGGCTGGTGAAAAGGTTAGACCCACCCTAGACCAGGGCCTGAGGATAAACACTAGACTTAATTTGTTAGAAACAGCATAGCAAAAGAAAGTTCAACAAAATTGAGTCTGATAGACTGTGCTGTTTTGCTGTTGTTGTTGGGTACCATCAAGTCAACCAGGATTCATAGCGACCCTGTGAACAACAGGTGTGGACCTTACTCTGTCCTATGCCAGGCTCACAGCCCTGCTCGAGCCCGTTGTTACTGTTGCTGTGTCAGTCCGTCTCCTGGAAAGTTGTCCTCTCTTTCGATGACTCTGTTATGTCTTTTCCCAAGGACTACCCTCTCCTGAAAACATGCCCAAAGTGTGTGAGATGAAGTTGCACCATCTTAGCCTCTTAAGGACCACCCGGGTTACACTTCTTCCAAGAAGCTTAAAAATGACCTAGGGGAAGTGAACTCACCAGAGGGAGTGAAGAGGGAACAGTTTCTCCTTGGGAGGAGGCACCAGAGTGGTGACCTAGTCTCTTTGTCCTCCTGCAGAGTGGCAGGAACTCTCTCCACTCTACCCCACTAATGAAGACCACCCTGGGTTAGGTAGCATTTCAATTTTTCTTGGTGTGAAAAATCTAATGCAATTCACAGATTAGCAAACATTATAATTGGTTGGAGAGTAAGTATTCTAGGCTACATAAATAAGGTCTCTCACAGAGTTTTCATTCTCTGCAGTCACGTCGAGGAAAGAGTTTTCATTCTCTGCAGTCACGTCGAGGAGATATTGCCGCTTTGTGGTTTTAGACCACAGTAAAATGAATGTCTCAGTAAAGTGAGTCTCATGACTTGCCACCCCCCCGAGTGCATACAAAAATATTATTAAAACTAGACTATAATCTATTAAGTGTTAAAAAAAACTAGACTAATTATAAGAAATGGGGAACTCTGGTAATCTAGTGGATTAAGAAGTTGTGCTGGCAACCCAAAATAGCAAGCGGTTAGAATCTCTCCCACCCATTGTGTGAGGAGAAGACAGGCAGTCTCCTCTGGTGTGATGTACAGTCTCTGAAAACCTGCTAAAGGGTCAGCTCTGAGTAAATTCCAACTTGATAGCAGGTAACAACAATGACAGCATTGCAAGGATTACCAAAATGGATTACACACGTGGAGTGAGACAAGCTATCAGAAAAAATGGTATCAATAGACTTCTTCCTCAACCCATGTTTATCACAAACCTGCAATTTGTAAAAAATATGCTGTAATACCAAACAATAAAGTGAAACAATAAGCTGCAGTGTGCCTGTGCATGCTTTACAAATGTGAAAACATCCTTAGTTCACTGGCTAGACCCAAACAGCCCACAGGCCAGAATTAACTGAACCTTAGTGGGTCACCAGTGACATGACAAAGTGACTTCAACAACTCAATTGCTTCTAAACATTAACTGGTCCCATAATATATTTCTGGGCCAAAGGCTGTTAGTTAGAGTCAGAGTTTTCATTATTTGAGTGAAACATCAAGATCTGAGGGTCATTGTATTTTGTGAGCTGAGCCCCTGGTTTGAGTTTTTAAATCAGCCACACTTGTTGATAGGTGAGCTCTGCTCCCTTGGGGAGTTGGTAAGCATCAGGTATTGGTGTGGTGTGCACTCTCTCTCGGTCTTCCGCCACAGTTGAGGACTGGAGAGCCTTGTGCTCTACATGTGTCCCCCGTGCTGCCTACATCCTCTCTTGGACTTGCTACTTGGCTGACTTGTATCCTCTCTCTGGCAGATATGAGCCACAGACAGATATACCTTCTGATGTCGAGACCGAACAAGACCGTGTTTTCTTCATCAAGGCGATTGCCCAGTTCATGGTTAGTTCCTGGAGAAGTAAAGTTAAGTGAATGAGAAAAGGATGAGTCCTGGTTAAGGCTTCTTTCAAATTTAACTTTCAGGATACATTGTGGATTTGGTTGTAGGCCAATGCAAACATCTTGGTAAAAATCAGTCTCATGAGTCTTTGGGTTTCCCAGTGCACAGGAAAGTTATATTTACACTAAACTGTTAAAGGAGCCCTGGTGGCTGCTAACCAGAAAGTAAAGAGTTTGAACCATTTTTTTTCTGAAGAAATAGAAGACTTCTCTCTGTGCAGTGTGCAGCCTGGAGACAGCTGCAACTGTGAGCTGGAGCTGACTCGACAGCAGTGGGCTTGATTCTGGTCTGCTCAGCTGTGAAGGTACAATAACACAATGAAAGCTAGAAATATTATGATAATTGCCTGGGTGGGACCCTAAGACACAAAGTGAGCAAACGCTGCTGAAAAAATAGGGCAGCCATGGGATTTTAATGCAGAATTACCGCAGACCTTCAGTGTATAAAAATGCAATATCCACTTAGTGAGAAGCAATAAAACACGGTGTGCATTGCCAGGTTTCTGTGGAATTATTTCCCAGCATAAATTCTTCCCCTCCACTCTTGGTTAAAAATTTCATTTATTTTTGAATGGGTGATGTTTTCCATGATTTAAATCAAAGATCATGAAATAGGATAGAGTAGCATGTCTTTCTACTCCTGGTCTCTTCCTTATAACCACTATTTTCCATTTCTTCCAGGAGATAGAGATAGAGAGAGAGAGAGAGAGAGATAGATAGATGCCGTTGTACTCATAGCAACCCTATGAACAAAAGGCCTGAAACCTTTTTATAACTCTCGACATTTATCAAATTTCATAGAGTTGCGGAGGCATGTTTAGGAAGTGGATGTAACTCCTTCCAATGTATGTATGTATGTATGTATGTATGTATATATATATATGTTGTTGTGTTGATTGCCTGGAGTTGAGCATGACTCATAGCGACCCTATGAACAAAAGGCCTGAAGCCCCTCTACACCTATCGACATTTATCAAATTTCATAGAGTTTTTGGAGGCATGTTGTTTAGGGGATGCCACTCCTGCTTCTAAACCTGTCATAGTATATTGTTGTTGTTACATGCCTGCAGTGTATAGTGACTCTGTGTACAGCAGCTCTGAACCCTTCCCTATCCTGAGCCAGTCTCACTAATTCCAACACACCCAAGACCCATCACCCCAGTTACTGTATCAGTTCATCTCATCCTGGTTCTCCCTCTCCTATACCCTTCCGAGCATGATGTCCTTCTCCAAGGACTGATCTTTCCTGGCCATGTGCCCAAAATAAGTGAGGCAAAGCTTCAAAATCCTAGCCTCCAAGGAGAGACTTGGTTTTACCCTCTCCAAGACAGAGTGATTTGTTTTCTTGGTAGTCCATGGTATGTTCTAGACTCTTCTCCAGCAACTCGAAGGCATCTATTCTTCTTTTGTCATCCTTAGTCATTGTCCAACTCTCTGAAGCATAAAAAGGAATTGAGAAAACCATGGCCTGGATTAGGTGCACCTTTGCATCTGGACTGACATCATTGTTCTTCAGCACTCTGGAGGGGTCCATGACAGCAGATTTTCCCTATGCAATTCATCTTTTGATTTCCTGACTGCTGGTGTTGACTGTGGATCCAAGCAAGCTGTAATTGCTAACAAACTCAGTCTCTTCTCCATCTGTTATGGTGCTGCCAGTATGCCCAGTGGTGAGAATCTTTGTCTTCTTGATGTTGAGCTTCAATCCATATTGAAGACCTTGACCTTTTGCAGCAAGTGCTTCAGGTCTTCTTCAGTGTCAGCAGGAAAGGTTGTGTCATCAGCATATGGTAGATTGTTAATGAGTCTTTCTCTAATCTTGATGCCACACACACTCCTCCCTGCTTCCTGAATGATCTGTTCTGCATACAGATTGAAAAGGTACAGGGACAGGATGCATCCCTGACGCACTCCTATCCTGATTTTGAACCATGCAGTGTTTCCTTACTCTGATCTGAGGACTGCTTCTTGGTCCAAGTATAGGTTTTATATAAACCGATCAAGTGTTCTGAAATCCCCATTTTCCTCAAGGTTAACCACAATGCCACAATGTGTGTGTGTATATATATGAGTGGAGCAGCTGGATTCTACAAAGGTGTGTTTTCTGTTTTCTTTGAGGCTTGGGTGTGGTCTCTTGCTTGCAATTGAATGTGAGCTGATTGGATTTGGCCTCATGTTTTTAAAAAGGCATTTGGGCCCTCAGGTCTGCATTTAATTGTTTCAGTCGAACATTCTTCTAAGTAGTGTAGCACTAGTCTGTCATTTTGCCATACAGAGGTAACTCTGGTTGTTGTGATGGTAAACACTGTGACACTGATGTGTCAAATGCAATAATTGTTGCCCATGGTGGACAATGTTTGATGGAGCTCTCAAATTAAAACAAGCTTAGAGGCATCCACTTACGAAATAGCTTGCCTCCTGGATATTCTCTGAACTTAGAGAAACGATGAAAGTTATGCGTTCAAAACTTTCATTCATAGGGTTGCTATGAGTTGGCTGCAGCGGCACTTAACAACAACAATGTGTGTGTGTGTGTGTGTAGTCAGATCTGATCTATAGCTAACCTTAATGTGAGTTTTCAGAGTCAGTATATATACAGATGAAAGACTGCCATCAAGATAATTCTGCTGCATGGCAATCCTCCATGAGTTCTGAGGCTGTAAATCTTTATAGGAGGAGAATGCCTGTCTTTTTTGCACAGAGTGGCTGGTGGATCTCGATTGTTGACCTTTTGGTCAGCAGCCCAACACATAACCCACTACGCTGTGAGGGCTCTTTCATGCTCTGTGCATATAAAGCCAATGCAGCCTGTTTCTATTGAGTCAGAACCATCTCATGGCTTGTAGTTTCCCAGACTGTAAATTGAATGGGCAGAAATTGCTCATTTTTCTTGCTTGGAGTGGCCGGCATGTTTGAACCCCTAGAGATATATGGACTTCAGGTTAGCATTGCAGTTGTTTACAGACAAAGACCATCAACACTCCCTATGCATATATGAACAAATAAACATTATCCTTTCCTTTACACAATGCCACCAAACTGTACACTATTTAATATTAATTGGCTGTTTTCACATCACAGTACAGACAGATCTTGTCTTACTGTACGTCACCTCATTGTACTTCTTAGAGCCTGTGTATTACAAGTACAAGGGTTGTGGCGGTCCTGTGTTCAGGAAATGTGTTGGCACTGTTTCCCAACAGCACATGCTCACTTTGTGTTTCTGGGCCACATGTTAGTCATTGTCACAGGGTTGTTGTATATAGTCTATTTTGACTACAGTGTTGTGTCAACATAACTTTATACACACTGGGGAACTGTTTATCTTAGAGAACTTTCCTGATCACTACAAATCAGATTTGCTTGTTCTCTCTGGCGTGGTTATACTACACTCTCTGTATCGTGATATGTAGATAGGTGCTGGGATTCTAGCCTCTGCTCTTTGGGGCGGTGTGTGTTAGATAACCTGTATCCTTCTTCCAGTTGCTATGTGAGGCGACTTAACTGGAGTCACTGGGTCTCTGGATTTGTGCATTGATAGTCTTGATGATCCACACCAGATATCTCTTCATCAAAGCTGTACCAGTTTATATTCCTACTTCCAATGTAACACTATAAGATTATATCCTGGTGGTTGACTAAGACATTTTTAAACTGTCTACATGGGATTTGGTGTAGAGATTATATGGAAATGGCCTTAAATGTTTTGGGTATCTTTTGTCCACAAATAGGCCACCAAAGCACATATAAAGCTCAACACTAAGAAGCTTTACCAAGCAGATGGATATGCGGTTAAAGAGCTGCTGAAGGTCACATCTGTCCTGTACAATGCCATGAAGGCCAAAGGAATGGAGGGCGCAGCAGTGGGAGAGGAGGACATCAGCAAGTTCAAGTTTGATCTTGGCTCAAAGGTGAGGAGATACCAGGCTTGCAGTGAAGAGCAGGCTGGCAGTTCCCTGACTCAGGGAATAGCTGGTCCTCCTCACAAGCAGAGGTCCACCTCTTTGACTAAAACCAGATCATTACACTGATTCATCCCATTGAGATAAAACCAGTAGTCACAGTAAGTAACTCAATACAACTGTTTATTGAAAGCCTGCTGAGAAGAACTAATCCAAAATAAGAGCTCTGATAGCATAGTGGATTAAGTGTTGGACTGCTAACCAAGAGGTTGGAGGTTCAAGTTCACCAGCCCATTTGCAGGAGAAGCATGAGGCAGTCTGCTCCTGTGAAGATTTACAGCTTTGAAAATCTCCGAGGCAGTGCAGCTCCATCCTTGAGAGTCACAGTGAGTGGAATTGACTCAGTGGCAAGTGGTACATGCTTGTTTGGTTATACCTGCTAAAGAGACCTGGTGGCACTGTAGTTAAAGCCTTTGTGGTGTGAGCCCAGATGCACCACCTTAGAAACCCTGAGGGAGAGCTCCACTCTGTCCTGCAGAGCTGCTGAGAGACAGAAGCTACTTGGCTGTGGGGGTTGCTTTGTGTTTGGGGTTTCAGGTGCTGCAGATACAGATGTGAATAGAAAGGACAGCAATCCTGTGTTCAGTTTGCTGAGTTGAAAGTGGATGAGGTGGATCAGCTAATAAATAAAGTAAAGGAGAAAACCTCACAGCTGCTGAGTCTTTCCCCACTTGTAAGAACCCAACAAACCTCTATTGGGTTTCTGAAGCTATAATTTCTATGGGAGAAGGCTGTCCGTCTTTGTCCTATGGAGCAATTGGTGGATTCAATCGCTGACTTTTCATTAGCAGCCTAATGTCTGCTTTGTCCTTTGAGTGTTTAGTATCCAGCACAGAATCTGGCTGTTAATAGATACATGCTAAACAAGTAACGAAATGTCTGGCATTTTCATGGACCAAAAGGAAAGAAGGACAAGGTGTGGTGGGTTAGGTGGGGCTAGTGCTGTGGGAGGTTGTATGGCAGGGAGGGGTCTAATAGACTGAAAGGAGTCAGGGGTGGAAGTAAGAGGGAAAAGTGATGCCATGGAGAGGTGGGGAGGAGTGGCAGGAGTTTGGAATACAGACAAACTTCGGCAACAGCGCAGCTTCAGTCCCAGATGACCCCAGAAAGCGAGTACTGGAGTAAAGTAATGCATGTACAGTATTTGGTCTCCCAGAGCATGTGAAAACAGTTTGCATTGTGCCGCAGTCTGTGTCATATGCAAGAGCATTGTGAGCTTTCCTAAAAAAATATTCTGAGAGCTCCCAAATGTGACCCAGAGACACTGAGTGAGCACTTATGATTGGATGGTGGACTTTGACATAGGGTTGCTACAAATCTTTAATGGTTGAGATGTGGTATCTGCAAAGTGTAGTCAAGAAAAGTACAGTGAAAAAAGGTACATCTATATTTTTGTCTTCTAAAACACACGTGGTAGCCTACTGGCAAGAAGGCTTTGCTATAGTTCCAAAGACACATGGTTTGAATCCACCAGCTGCTCTGTGGGAGAAGGATGAGCAGTCTCCTCCCATGCAATTCTCTGAAAACCAATCAGAGGGTCAGCTATGGGTCAGTTCTGACACAATGTACACAACAATAAAATATACATACATTCTAACACACCCTCTGCATTTCTTAAGCCTGCCTTCTCCTTCATGCAGTTTGGGTGAAGTGCACAATAAAAAGAATATGCTTCCAAAGTGTGGGACTGAAGTGCTGGGTTGTATTCCTAAGCATGAAAAGCTGTGAAATGGGGTACAGAAAAAAGGTCTGCGTTGAATCTGCTTTGCTCATGCACCAATTCCATTTGCATTTCAAAGTGGTACATATTTCCAGGAGGAGACTGCCTGTCTTTCAGAGTGTTGTGCTTCTCAGGGCTCCATTATAGAGCACACCGCCACAATTCACTGGAATTGGCTTCCGGGATGGCATGCAGGGTATGAGGAATTGAGAAGATGCATGAATGATTCTAAAGCAACAGCCTGATAGAACTTTGTGTAATGGGAAATATTCTTTACCTGTACTGTACAGCACCACAGCCACTAGCCGTAAGTAGGAAGCTGAGTTTTCAATTCTATTTAATTTGTATTAAGTTTTAAAATAGTCATATGTGGTTCACTTCAACTCTGCTCACTGCCATCGAGTTGGAATCGACTCCTAGCTGGCCTTCAATGGGTTTCTGGAATCTGGAAATTGCACAGGAGGAGATTGCCCTTCTTTCTCCTGTGGAGCAGCTGTTTTGTTTGAACTGCCAAAGGGGCACCATCCTTGGCTTAGCAGCATAGCTCTCTTTGGACGGTGCCCTCTGTGATGGTGGTAGTTGCATACTGTGGAGTTGGAACTGACCCATAGCTGATCCTCAGGTGGGTTTTTGGAGGCAATAAATCGCACAGGAGGAGATTGCCCATCTTTCTCCTGTAGAGCAGCTTATGGATTCAAACTGCATGCCTTTGGGATTGCAGCACAGTTTGGCCCAGATTTCTGGAAGGACAACATTGCTGTTTCCTGAAGTGGAGAAGTGTTTGGAAGGAGCCCGTCCCACAGGGAAGATGAGTTTAGTTTGGGACAGATTCCATTTGCTGGGCCAGCTTGCTGTCTGAGTAGACATGCCAAGCCAATGGTGGAATATGTGAGTGTCCCGGCTGGGGAGCCTTCAGGTGGGTGGAGTGAAAGCCACAAGCTTGGGAAGAAGAGGCACAGAAAAGAAAGAGGTCTAGGGATTGATGTCTGGAGTTCTCACTTCAGTGCTGAGACTCAGGAAGGGTCTATAGAGGAGAAGCCTGCATAGAAAATTGGGCATTTGCTGCTGGTGGGATAAAAGAAGCTCTGATGGTGCAAAGATTAAGCTGGGTTGCTTACTGAGAGATCATTGGTTCTAACCTGCCAGGTGCTCCCAGGGAGGATGATCCACTTCAGTAAAGATACAGCCTTGGAAACCCTATGAGCAGTTCTGCTATAGTCACTGTGAGCCAGAAATGACGTGGTGGCCCCTAGTAACAGCAAGTCAAAGAAGCAGCTAGAATTAAAGGAGCAGTATTCTGGAGGACTGAAGAGAGATTGTCAGGTGGGCGGAGAGATGGATCATTGCTACTTCTGGGAGTTTGAAAAGAAAAATCCTGCTGCTGTCAAGATACTCTGACTCACATTGATCACATGTGCAGAAACAGCTGCCCTGTGTGTTTCCCTCAGATGTAATCTTTACAGGAGAAGATTGTCATGTAGTTTCTCTGGTGGAGTGTCTGGAGGATTTGAACTCTCAACCTTTGTTGGCAGCCAAAGAAGTGGGAATTTAGTTATTTAGGAGAGGGAGAATGAACAGAACAAGGAAATGTTCAAGTATGGGCTCTTTGGAAGAAATTAGTATGTTCACGAAAAAGACTATCATGCGTATTTTAGGAAAGAAGACTTTGCCAAGGGATACATACTGGGTCTTCTCATTTAACCCTCTCTCCTCCACATCCTCAACTCATCCTCTCCTCTCCTTGGCCTTTGTCCTCTTCGTCTTCATCCTTAGCCATCTCTGTTCTTTCATCTCCACCCTCATCTCCATTCTCTTGCCTTCACCTTTATCTGCATTCTCTAATTCTCCGCTTCATCTTCTTTCTGTCATCCTTATCCTTATCTTCGTCTTGTCATTCTCATTTCACCGTTGTGGGGGACAGGTATTGTTGTGTTTTACATTTGCCAGCTCACATATGCCTCGCAGAGACCCCAAGCCAGAGAATGTGGAAACAATGTGGAGAAAATTATGCCTCAGGCATCAGGGTTCCACTATAGGAAATGTGCCCCTCAACTTGTTCCACTGGCCCCCTGCCCATGGTCAGGGTACCTTATTTTGACCTAGCCCATGTCAGAAGCACGTCAGCCTTCAGCTTCCTGTTCTCTTTTCAGGTGAAATCTGACTTGGTGTTCATTTTTTGGGAAGACCAAGACTCTTGTTTGTACTTAGATGACAGTTTCTTGTGCTGATGCGCTAGTGACCACTCCTGTGCAGGGTAGACATCTCTGTCTCATGAAAACATAATCCAGTGCCACAGGTGGGCGCTGACAGACTGGTTCTTCTGGGATGTTCTGCATGCTGAGTGCTGCCGATAGACCTGTCACCAAGGCCACTGCCTTTGCTGCTTGTCTTCCAGATTGCAGACTTGAAAGTAGCCAGGCAGCTAGCTTCTGAGATCACTTCCAGAGGGGCGTCTCTATATGACCTGCTGGGCAAGGAGGTGGAGCTGAGGGTAAGCACCTTCAGGTAACATGGGTCCTTCCTTCACTCAACCCACTTGCTGCCCAGAGTTTTGTCAGTTCTCTTTCTCCCTTTTCGCTTGTGATTTTATTGAACTCACCTAATACCAACGGCTGAACTGTTTCTAGAGAAGGGAAACCTACTGCCAGACCTACTGCTGTCAAGTCCATTCTGACCATACAGTGACCATAAGGTTCCTGTCTTTAAATCTTAACGGGAGCAGACTGCTTCATATTTCTCCCACAGAGCAGCTGGTGGGTTTGAACAACCACTTTCTTTTATCAGCCCAACATGTAACCAGCTGCTGTGTCACTATGTACTGTGATAAGGAAACCACAGGACCCTGAATGTGCTGCTTATAATTCTAATATGGTCTAGCTCTTGAGGAAGAATCCTTGTGCAGTGGTTGCTTTTTCATCCCATGGACTGGCAGAGGTACCATCTCTAGCCACGCAGAGTAGCCTAGGCTCCTCTGAGACCAGCAGGAACTCTGCCCTACACTGAATGCCCCATCCTTTGACACACCCTCATGCACTGTGGATGAGGAGGTGTTATCCATGCCTGACTCCCATTCTGGGGCTCCAATCACCACTCAGGTGAATACAAACTCTGACCTGACCGGGCACCCCACCCCACTCTTCTCCTAGGCCGGCAGGTACACTGTCCCAGGCCAGAGAGTTTGCTTTCTGTTCCCGGTAGCATGTATGTTCTTTTTATGATATTTTATGGTTTGTTTTATAATTTTCTCTCCTCTGTCAGTTTGCTGTACTGGGATAACTTGCATGTTTCTCTGTTGCTAGAAGCTATGCCATTGGTATTTCAAATATCAGCAAGGTCACCATGGTGGACAGATTTTAGTGGGGCTTCTACACTGAGACAGAAGCCAGCAACTTCTGACATAACAGGCTTAGGAGAACCCAGTGACTAACAAGAACATTGTTAGAGGTAGTAGCAGAAGATGAGTCCCTCAGATGAGAAGACACACAAAATAAGGGGAGAGAAACAGCTGCAAACTTCCTTTATTAATTGCAACATGGAATGTATGAAGTATAAATCTAGGAAAATTGGAAGTTGTCAGAAGTGAAGTGGAAGACATAATGATCAACATCCTAGGCATTAGTGAGCTGATGTAGGCAATTAGAATCTGATGGATTCAGAAGAGGTAGTGGAAGGAAGAATAAGGCAGATGAATCTTAATCGAAAGCAGAGAATACCAGATAGATATTTACTTATGTTTTCTTGACTATGCAAAGACATTTGACTGTGTGGATCATGACAAATTATGGATAACATTGAGAAAAATGGGAATCTCAGAACACTTACTTGTACTCATGTAAAACCCTATACCTAGACCAAGAAGTAGTTGTCAAAACAGAAGAAGGGAGCACTCCATGGTTTAAAATCAGGAAAGCTGTGTATCAGGGTTGTATCCTCTCTCTGTACCTATTCCTTTCTCTGTGCCTATTGAATATGTATGCTGAACAAACCATTCAAGAAGCTGGATTATATGAAGAAGAATGTGGCATTAGAATTGGAGGAGGACTCATCAGAAACCTGCAGATGGCACAACCTTGCTTGTGGAAAGGAGGAAGACTTCAAACAATTAATGAAAAAGATCGAAGACTATAAATTTCAATATGTCTTAAATCTCTTACTTCTCAGGTATCCTCAACACTGGACCAATTGACAACATCATGGTAGATGAAGAAAAGATTGATATTGTCAAGGATTTAATTTTACTTGGATCCACAATCAATACCCATAGTAGCAGCAACAAGAAATTTAAAAAAAAATTTCATTTGGAACATCAGCTATTAAGAACCTCTCCAAAGTTCTAAAGAGCAAGGATGTCAGTGTAAAAGGCTAAGGTGCACTTTGAACCAAGACATGGTATTTTTAGTTGCTTCCTGTGTATCCAAAACTGAATAGCAATGACCAAAGAGAAATTGTGAATAGGACAGTGAATAGGTATGGCCAAGGAAGAACTCATGCCTTTGATTTGTGATGTTGAAGAATAGTACAGAATATTCCATGGACTACCAAAGAACACACAAGTCTGTCTTGGAGGAAGTGAAACAGTGTTCCTCAGAGACACTGGTGAAACTTTGTTTTACGTACTTTGGGTTTATTGTCAGTACAGGCCAGTCCTTGGAAATGAACCGCTATGCTGGTAAAGGTGGAGAAAGGAATACATTCAACAAGATGAATCACCACAGTGACTGTAACAGTTTGCTCGAGCATGTTGGAGGTTGTGAGGAAAGGGCAGGGTTCTGTGATTTGTAGTGTTGCTGCTTGGCTTTGTTGACTTGATGGCCATCACTAACCATGGACAAGGGACCTGGCTCTCCATCCTTGTGTAAGTCTTAGTGCCTTCCCTGAGATGCTCATAGCCTGGGGGAGACCATGGAAGGTGTCAGGTTGGAGGCTGTACCTGACTCCTGCAGTCACAGAGCTGAGGGACTCAAGTGTAGGTCAGATAGCAGGCCACTGGGTCATGAGGCTGGGAAACTTGAGTCAGGTCAGACCGGCCACTAGCTTGGATTCAAGGGTTCAGATGACAAGTCACATGCAGGATCCAGAGCAAGCTTGACAATTACCTCCAAGACCCTCATAGTGACATTTTCATTCACATTGCCATCCGTGCCCCTAAGGACCACTCTGATTACACTTCCTACAAGACAGATTTGCTTGTTCTTTTAGCACCTACCATCAAATTCAAAGGTATCAATTCTTGTCCTTACTCACTGTTTAATTTTCAGATGCATAGGAAGCAATTGAAAGCACCATGACTTGGATCAGGCATACCTTTTTAAGGTCATATATACACACATATATATTGTTATTAAGTGCTGTCAAGTCAGAACCAATTCATAGCTGACCCTCCAGTGGGTTTTCAGAGGCTATAAATTGCATGGGAAGAGGTTGCTTGTCTTTCTTCCATGGAATGACTGATGGATTTGAACCATGTGCCTTCTGGTTGGCAACACAGTTCCTTGCTACCAGGTCATCAGAGTTCTCTCTATATAATGTTGTTGTTGTTATTGTTGTTATGTGCCATCAATTCGCTTGCGACTCACAGCGACCCTATTATGTACAAGAGCCCTAAACTCCGCTCTATCCTGTGCCAACCTCGCCGTCTCCGACATACTCATTCCCATCACCCCAATCACAGAATCGATCCATCTCATCGAGGGTCTTCCTTTTCTGCGCCGTCCCTCTACTCTCCCAAACATGATGTTCCTCTCCAAGGACCAGTCCCTCCTTGCAGCATGCCCAAAGTTTGTCAGATGAAGCTTCAGAATCCTTGACTCCAAGGAGCATTCTGGCTTCACCCTGTCTAGGACAAACCTGTTTGTTCTCCTAGCAGTCTGGTATATTCAACACTCTTCTCCAGCACCACAGCTCAAAGGCATCAATTCTCTTTCTATCATCCCTAGTCTCTGTCCAACTCTCCGATGCATAGTACGTAATTGTGAAGACTATAGCCTGGATCAGGTGCACCTTAGTCTCCAGCCTGAGTCATTGCTCTTCAGTACTCTTGAGAGGTCCCTCACAGCTGACTTTCCCAATACAATAATGAAAATTATAATGTAATCAAAATTATATGCCCAGCAGCTGGACAGATTAAATGGACCCTTTCAATGGGAAGTTGACTTTAATGGGGGGAGAAACAACTTGGAAAAGGTGAGGATGTGAGTGGTCTCACAGTTCATATGGTCACTGAAGATCTTCGGAAGAGGAGGTACATCTAATGCGTTTGCATCAAAATTGTAATGAAATGTCTGAGACCAACAGACAAACCCCACCTCCACTGAGTTAATTACAGCTCCTGGCATCCTGCCTCATCACTCTGCCTGGGAGTGGGGGTGCATTAGAACAGACAGCTCTCCGGTTAGCAGCCCAACACGCGGCACATCACACCACCAGGGCTCTATCTGAGTGGTAGTTCCTGAGTCACGTCTTGAGACTGATAACCTGGATTATGCCTTTTCTAAAAATCTCTAAACTGTTTTTTGCTATCTGTAGGAACTGAGAACAGAAGCGATCGCCAGACCTCTGGAAATAAATGAGACTGACAAAGTGATGAGAGTAGCAATAAAAGACATCCTGGTAAGATAATTTTGCTTTTACTTCTTGTTTCTTTAAAGTTTATGTGTTTTATTGTTAACGAGACCATACCCACCAAGGTACATACTAGGGAGCAGTTACCGCATGTGCAGTTCAGTGACACAAACAACCTTCTTTGAGGTAGACAGCCAGCCGCATTCTCTTTTTTTCATTTATCCTTCCCCCAGTAAATGAAGTCACTGCCCCCTAAGGTTCATTTCTAAGCTTTCAAGTGGTGATTGTTAATTTGATCCCATACATACTTTGCTTTAACTTGATAATTTCATACCTGAGACTCAGCTGTTTTCTGCCTCTGCAAGAGAGTAATGACCTCGGCATAGTTTCAGAGAAGGGAAAAAGTTATGGAGAAGTGCAAAGTACAGGAAAGCTGAATATCAGATTACTGATTAGAAATTGAAACCAAACACCTAATGGGTGTCATCCAATGTCCCAGCCCACGTGTAAAATGTTCTCATAATTAAAGTTGTTTTAAATATATAAAAAAAATAAATTGAAACCAAAATTAGAAAAATTCTAGAACACTTAGTGTAATCTGATAACTACTATAGCATACTAATAACTGTTATTATTAGTATGAATTGGAAACAGGAGTGGCATCCACTTCTTAAACAACATGCCTCTCTGGAAATTATGAACTTTGAAAAAGGACAGTAGTTACAGAAAGGCTTCAGGCCTTTTGTTCACAGGGTCTCTATGAGTCATGATCGACTCAGTGACAATCAACAACAACGCAAGATTGGTATGAACAGTTTCTCATGTTATTGACAATACTTTAAATTTAGTAATAATAAAAATTCCTCCATAACCTCTGGTCTGCTGGAGACGCATTAGAACCCTTGGACTTGGTGTTTAGCAGCCCTTCATGCCTGAGACTGAAATCACCTCCCTTACAGAGCACCTCCAGCCTAACTGTAGGCAGGCCTGCAGTGATGAGTCACCAGAGAGGGGCACACTCCCCAAGACCTCCCTGCATAGCATCTACCCAGGGATAAAGCTCAGATGATAGGCAGAGAGAGGGTGGACAGATGGAGATAGGAAACATAGGGAAGCAGCAGGAAGAGTGTTGTTCCTGTGTCAGGATTGTGGTCAGTATCACAAAACATGATGAATTATTGAATACAAAAACAATTTACTCTGAACTTTCACTCAAATTGCAATTAAAAGAAAAAGTTAAAATTTTTAAAATAATGTTAGTAGTTAATACTATATCTTGTGAATCCTTCGTAATCTTTTTTTCATATCTGTTCCTCACTGTTGGGCATTTAGTTGACTTCTCATTTTCCTGAAATCTGAGCATTGAGTGAACCCTTACACTCATGCTCACCCAAAATCAGCAGTTGTTTACTGTCAGGTATTATACCTCAAGTGTACAGCTGGAAGGCAGTTGAGAGGAGGGCTTTAACTCAGACAGCTGTGTGCTTTCAGGCAGGTTATGTGACCCATGGTGCCTCACTTTCCTCATCTGCCCATGATAGGCATGGTGGGCAGGGAGAATAACAGTGCCAACCAAAAATAGGTTCTGATGGGCATTGATGACCACATGCACATGAAGCCTGTCCTGTGCACATGGTCACTATACAATCTTCAGTGCTGATGCCAGGAGCCTTATGTGAGTCAGGATATGTCCTAGAGCATAGAATGTACTGTGGGCTGTTCAAAAGGCTACCAACAATCCCAGCAGGACTTGAGCCTCCGCCACCAGTGAGTTTATGTGACTCTGTAGGACTGAGTAGAACTGCTCCAGAGTGTTCTCAAGGCTGTAAATCTCCATCATCTTAATCCTGTAGAGCAGCAGGTGGCCTCAAACCACCACCCTTTTGGTTAACAGCCAAAATGCTTTCACCACAGTGCTGCCACAACTCTTTCTAAGGATGCCAGGTTGCGGTGGTACCTTGTCCTTAGAGATGCTCCTGGGCAGCACAGCACAGAGGGCTGGGACTTAGCAGAGTGAAAAGACATGTAGGAGGCTGGTAGGAAATATCCCACACACTGGAGTAACCAGAGATGTAAGCATATGGAGGGTGATGAAACCCATTTCCTCTCTGTTGGAGAGGAAAGCTAAGCTATGTGTTGGTTTGAAGCAAGATTTTAACCTTCCCATGGGTAGATAGATAGAATGCTACAGGAGGAAGTACTAATGTGCATGTTTGTCTGCATAGGGAGTATATGAATATATGTATACATGTATATAAAATATTTGGAAGAAATACAGCCAGAATGCACCTTAAGAATTAAAAAATGGCAAGACTCTTCATGTTCCTTGGACATGTTGTCCCTGGTGAGCCAGGAGGCACAAGTTCCTGGGGGAGGACTTCATGGTTGGTAAGAGGGTCAGTGACACCATGGCCACAGCAGTAGGGTTAAACACCACAGTGATGATGAGGCCTGCACAAGAAAGTTGTCACTTCTGTTGTACTTGGGGTTGCTGTGAACTGGAACAATCTTGACAGCTTCTAACATGCATGTGTACATCTCATCTGCATATGTGTCCACGGCTCCACATGCACACTCACACTCTGTGCACCTAGTGCCTAGACCCTGGCCTTTATCTAAGTGCCATTGGCTTTCTAGGGAATGAGTGCTTGTAGAGTTGGGGCAGGGTGCGCGTTCCCTGGGAACAACCACCATCCCCACTGACTGTGCTGACTCTAGGGGGCCGTGACCTGTCTTAGGGTTTCCATGGCTGTCAGTCTGTTGTGGGAACAGACTCCTCTTCTTTCTTCTGTGGAGTGGATGGTGGGTTTGAACTACCAATTTTGAGGTTAGCAGTCAGTGTTACTTGTTGTGCTGCTAACTGAAATGTCAGTGGTTCAAATCCCCCAACAACTTTGTGTGAGGGTTGCTGTTTGTCAGAATTGACTCCATGAGAGCAGGTTGACAGCCTTTTTGGGCCTGTGCTGTGCTCCCCAGGAAGGTGGTGGGTTAGGTGAATGTTTGTGTGTGGGGGATGTAGTTTGTTAGCTCTTGGCTTTATGTAGTGTGAGAAGGAGGGAAGTTCTCCTCTTCAGAGTGGTGTCGGCAATGGTGGGCTTATTGGGACATTGTCTCCTCTCTTTGTCTCTTCCAAATGCAGGCCCAGGTGCAGAAGACCAAAGACCTGCTCAATAATGTGGCCTCTGATGAAGCGAATCTGGAAGCCAAAATTGAAAAGAGAAAACTGGAGCTTGAAAGAAATCGAAAACGGCTCCAAACTCTACAGAGTGTCAGGTAAAGCGAGAGCAGAAAGAGTCCACGTGCAGATTGAGGGCCAGCACCACAGCCCTGTGGAGCCCTGAAGCAGCAGGAGTCACGCTGCTTAGACTCTCGTGGGTATGAGAGTGCGTTTGCCTGTCCTGACCAGCTGATGCTCCACACGTGCCCTTTATTGCTTTCCCATTTCTGGGGAACAGCATATTACTTACTAATATTATTACATTTTATCATGTTTAAGTGGAAGTATGCAGAGCAAAGTGGCTTTCCAGGCGGCAGTTCCTATTTGTTTGGCGACATTGGTTGCAAGCCTGTATTAGAACAGCATTTTTTGTGTTTCCCGTTTCTGTCTGCTCTTTCCCGTACCTTCTGTCCAGAGTGATCTCCCTGGACAGATGCTGCCCTTCCGGATATTGTAAAGCATGTGTTCTTCCCTGGTGTTTGTGACTGCCTAGAAGCCTGGCTGGCAGGTTGTTTGGCAGAAAGTTGATGCCTAGGGATGGATTCAGATCCGGGTATGAGGAGGATCAGAGGACCATGGGGGTTCTAGCAGTCTCCATCTGAATGATAAAACTTTTCTTTTTTATGATTTTTAATTTTTATCCTACCTTTCTTTTTCTCTTTCTCTCTGGCCCCATTTTGCTATTGTGATCCTGATCAGTAGTTGATTGTGAATGGTTTTGACTTAATTCTTCACAGCTTTATGATTATGTCAAGTTTTTACAGTTTTTGGTGTTTTTTTTTTAAATTTTTATTATGGATTGTTTTTGCCATCAAATGGGATCTGATTGGTACAGGAGGAGATTGTCCTTCCTTCTCCAGCAGAGCATCTGGTGGATTTACCTCTGGGTTTGCAGTGCAGCTTCCTGCCACTAGGCCACCAGAGCTTCCTTTACACAGTTTTTACATCTTGAATTTTGATAAAATGTGTTTGCATTTTGAGAGAGGTGAGAGGAAATTATCAGTTGTAAGTGAGGAGGACTTTCTCCAATAAGAGGGTTTTCTGAGAAAAGCATGCCAGGAAAAGGAACCCAGAGCCCAGTCTGGAGTTCCAGGGTCTTGACAAGCCTTTTCACCTTGTTCACAGGCCCGCCTTTATGGATGAATACGAGAAGATCGAGGAAGAGCTGCAAAAGCAATATGACACTTACCTGGAGAAATTCCGCAACCTGACTTATCTGGAGCAGCAGCTGGAGGATCACCACAGGATGGAGCAGGAGAGGTTTGAGGTGTGAGCTTGTCCTGTGAGCATTTTCCATCAACTGGGGGGGGGTACCCAGAAAGGGCAGAGGACAAAAGGAACCACCTTTGACCAGGCTGCCATTTCACTGAGGGCCTCCCCTGGATTCAGAGAATATGCACAGAGCATGCCTCAAGTTAGTGAGTAGGTGGGCTCATTACCTCTGAGGCTGAGGCTTCCCCTTCCTTCCGGTAACAAGGACTTATCCTTGTTTTATCCCACACAATAGCTGTTGTGTTGTTAGGTGCCAGCCTCAAGCTCAACAAAACAAACCCTGCTTAGTGTTGTGCGCTCCTCACAGCCTGTATGCTTATGCCCGCTGTCATAGCTGCTCCGTCAGTCCATCTGTTGAGGGCTTTCCTTTCCTTCACTAACATTTTTTGTAAGCATGATGTTCTTCTCTAGTGACTGGCCCCTCCAAGTGTGAGGAGCAGTGTCTCACCATATTTCTAAGGAATGTTCTAGCTGTACTTCTTCCAAGACAGATTTGTTCATTCTTTTGTTAGTTCCTGGTATTCAGTATTTTTCACCAACACCATATTTCAGAGTTAACAGTTCTTCTTTAGTCTTCTTTATTCGTTGCCCAACTTTCATGTGCATGTGAAGTAATTGATAATATCAGGGCTTGGATCAGCCTCGCTCCTTAAAGTACCCCAGGCACAGCGCACAGTGCTTTCTTAGCATTTAGGGCAACTGTGTTTTCAGTCACTCACTGGTCAAGGAGGAGATGATCCTTAGAGCGATAAACCACACATGAGAGCCAGGAGGGCCTAGTTTGTCCAGCATAATGCTTAGGAAGCTAGAAGTGAGAGAACAGAGGGATGAATGGAAACAAGAGCTAAAGAGAAATTATGAGAAGAGAGAGGACACAATTTGAGGATATTAATCAGTATCCTAAAAAAATGTGCATGAAGGGCTGAGTGGAATTCTAATCTTCCCTGTAACTTTTCACTCAGATAAATCATGACAAAAAAGTAAAGTAAGTAAATAAAAGCCACTACTCCTTTTTAATCGAGGCCACCTTTTGTAACATTATTAAAATTTCCTTAAATTTTTTTTCCTACATGGGAAATTGAAACTCCTCTGTATTTTTTCCCATTCCCTACCTGACTTGTGCTCCAGTGAGACTGAAATGAGAAAGGCAGTGTGGGGCTGTTGTTGTTGTTGTTAATTGCCATCGAGTTGAGAACAACTCTTAACAACCCTATGAACAAAGCCTTTTTATAACTATTGTTGTTTCTCAAAGTTCATAGAGTTTCCAGAGGCATGTTGTTTAGGAAGTGGCTACCACTCCTCCTGTCTTAAACTGGGAGCCCCACCAGATACTATCCACCATGGGTAATCGTTATGGCATTTTATACCCGGTGGCATATGGTTCAGCATCACAGCAACCTCAGGTTACCTCTGTACAGCAAATTAACAGAAGAGTGCTGTACCACTTAGAAGAGTGTTCCTCTAAAATAAAGTAACAATGGACTTATAAATACAAAGGCCTTCCATACGGTCTTGTTGACTCTGTGCTATAGACTTCAGATAGGGTGAGGCCTATCTTACCGTGTTAGAAATATTTGTTCCTGGTCTAGCCCTGCAGGCCCATGTGACAAGCACTTATGGTGACTTTACGTCTCTCCAGTGACGGGAAATGGTCATGGGTTAGAGGGCAGCCAGGTCATGGGAATCTAGGGGAGCCACTTTCCTGAAGTTTCTCAGATAAAAACCTCTAATGACAGAGAGAAAGTATGTCAGGTTTCCAGGCCAGAGTGCTAGTTCAGGGAATGGTCTTGCTCTTCATTTCCTCTGTTCAGTTCTTTCTCTATAACAGACATGAGGACTTCTCTTTTTTTACATATTACCTTTCCCAGGAGCTCTGTGGTGCAAATGTGTAACATGCTGGGCCACTAAAGGAAAGGTCAGCATTTGGATCTACAGGACAAAGTGGGATGGTGTCCTCCTGTAAGGATTTGCATTCTTGGAAATCCAGTGGAGAGACAGCAGCGGGTTCTAGTTTGGTTGATGTCACCTGCTCAAGTGTAAAAGAGTAATAAAAAGAGCCATGTCTTCTGAGTATTGTTTTTCCTGTCTCACAGGAAGCAGAGAATACACTCCGGCTGATGCAGAGCAAACTGAAGGAAGAAGAAAAGAGACTGCTCAAGAGTGGAAGTAAGGCAGGGCTGGAGATTCTAGGATTTCTTCTGCAGTGGTTTTTTCAGCCTTGAAAAACAGATACACGTGCATATGTGTGTGTGCACCTGCCCATAAACCCATCCCTGTTGCATAGATTCCTGCTGTTAGCAGTCCCACGGCACAGAGTGGAGCTGACTGTAGTGGTTCTGAGGCTGTAATCTTTACAGAAGCAGCCTGCCTTGTCTGTCTTCTGTGAATTCCAGTCACCTACCTTTTGATAGTAGCCAAGTGCTTTATGACTGCATCTCCAGGACTCCATGTCTGTGTATTGAATTGTTATTGTTACTAAGTTGTTATTATTACGTGCCTTGAGTTTGTTCCAGCATAGCAACTAGTGAAAGAACGTATCCCTGCACCATTGTCACAGTCTCCTCTGCACCCCACCCCCTGCTGCAGCCAGTGTGTCTGCCCGTATTATTGAGGGGATTACTCATTTTCACTGACCTTCTGCTTTACCAGGGCTTATCTCCTTTCCCAGGGCCCCTTCTCATCACATGCCCAAAGTATGTGAGACAAAGTCTCACTGTCCTGGCTGCTTTCAAGATGGATTTATTTGTTCTTTTGTCAGTCTGTGGTATTATATATCTATATCTATATATCTGTATCTATATCTGTATCTATATATACATAGAGAAAGAAACATGCATACACAGACAAACACATGCATGTATATCCTTCCAATGACAAATTTTTTTGACAAATATTTTTTTTATTATTGAAAAGCAGTTCTCTGACACATTTTACCTGAGTACCATTTTAATTCAAATGCAAGAGCATTTGACTATGTGGATCACATCAAACTGTGGTTAACCTTGAGGAGAATGGGAATCCCACAACACTTGTTGGAGCTTATGCAAAACCTATATACTTGGACCAGGAAGCAGTCCTCAGAACAGAGCACAGAAACACTGCATGGTTCAAAGTCAGGAAGGGAGTGCATCAGGGACGCATCCTGTCTCCATACTTTTTCAATCTATGTGCAGAACAGATCATTTGGGAGGCTGGGCTTTATGAAGAGAAATGTGGCATCAAAATTGGAGGAAGACTCATCAGCAACCTATGTTATGCAGATGACACAATGTTGCTTGCTGAAACTGAGGAGGACCTTGACCTTAAGCACTTGCTTCAGAAGGTCAAGGACTGTAGTCTTCAATATGAATTGAAGCTCAGCATCAAGAAGACAAAAATTCTCACCCCTGGGCCAGTTGACAGCACCATGATAGATGGAGAAGAGATTGAGGTTATTAACAGTTACAGCTTGCTTGGCTTCACAATCAGTACTCTTGGCACCAGCAGTCAGGAAATAAAAAGACAAATTGCATTAGGTAAATCTGCTGTTAGGGACCTTTCCAGAGTACTGAGAAGCAACGATGTCAGTCTAGAGACTTAAGATGCCCCTAATCCAGGCCATAGTCTTCACAATTACTTGCATTGGAGAGCTAGACAATGACTAAGGATGACAAAAGAAAGATCGATGCCTTTGAATTGAGGTGCTGGAGAAGAGTCTTGAACCACCAAGAAAATAAATCCTTCTGTCTTAGAGAGGGTGAAACCAAGTTTCTCTGTGGACGCTAGGATTTTGAAGCTCTGTCTCACATACTTGGGGCATGTGATCAAGAGGGACCAATCATTGGAGAAGGACATCATGATCATGAGAGCGGTGGGAAAGCACAGGAGAGGAAGACCCCAGATGTGATGGATTGATACAGTAACTAGGGCAATAGGAGTAAGTGTGTTGGAATCAGTGAGATTGGTTCAGGGCAGGACAGGCTTCAGAGCTGTTGTACGTAGGGTTGCTGTGAGTCACAGGCGACTCATGATAGCATATAACACTACCAACACCACCATTTTAATTCACCCAGAAGACTTGTTTAAATAGCAGTTAAAGCATTTTTGGCTTTCATGCCAACTAACCTGTTTTTTAGCTCCTGTTCACGCAGTCATCTCCCTCAACCATCCATTCATGTATTCCTACATCCTCCATAATCCAAGCTCGTTGGGCGAGGCTGTCAGTGGAGCAGTGGGGTTAACCTACATGTAAGACTCAGAGTTGGGAAGAAATGCTTCCCACGACTGGACAGCATTCAGCATCCTTCAGGCATGACCTTTATCCGGGGATTGGGCCACTCCCCTCCTGAGCCCATGCCCTTCCCGATTATTGCTTAATCTTTCACAGTGAAGTCTTTACTCCTTCCCTCCTGACAGAAGAGCCCTGGTGGGTGGATTTATGGTTGTACTGTTGACCAGAAGGTCTGGGGTTTGAATTCACCACCTCCTGAGAAGAAAGATTGAATCAGTCTGCTTCTGTGAAGACTTGCAGCCTTGGGAACTCTGTGGGGCAGTTCTGCTCTGTCCTTCCAGTGTCCAGTCTCTTTACATTCCTGAAGGAATGAGGCCAGCTGTGTGGAGATATCGGAAGTGAGTCCTATGAGGGACTCCTGGGAGGAGGAGGTCTGATGGTGTGCAGATGTGCAGCCGGGCAAGAAGGAGAGCAGTGAGAGCTGGCCAAGGATGGTGGCTTAGTGTGCTCGGCAGCCAGGGCATGGGGCCAGCAGTGCAGTACAGTACAGGTGGCCTCCTTTCAGTGTCACTGTCCTGTGCAGGTGGCCTCCTCTCCCTGTACTGCCTAGTGCAGATGGCCTCTCCCCTGCACTGCCCAGGGCAGGTGGCCTCCCCTCAGTGCACTGCCCCGTGCAGATGACCACCTCTCCCTGCACTGCCGCTGCCCAGTGCAGGTAGCCTCCTCTCAGTGCACTGCTGCCACCTGGTGCAGGCTGCCCTCACTGCTCTGTGCTTTACAGCCTCACAGATACTGTACCTTTGCAGATTGAGGGTCTGTGACAGTCCTGTATTAATCAACTCTTTGCCGTTTTCCAACAGCAAATGCTCATTTCATGGCTTTCTATCTCTTTTGGGAATTCTGTAGTATTTTGTACTTTCTCATAATAACCGGAAACAAATTCATGGCTGTTGAGTTGGTTCCAGCTCATGGTGACCCTCCATCAGTTGTCTGAGGCTGACCTTTCCAGGAGGGCCCTGCCCGTCAATCTCTTGCTTGCACAGATAATGCACTAAACCATCAGAGCTCCATGGAGTAGGCTAAATCTAGTGAGATGCACTGGGAAACCAGAATAGGATTTACAGACTGACTTAACGATGACTCACTTTACTGTGATGACCTGGAACCTAGCCTCTGGTCTCTTCGAGGTTGCCTATGAAAGGTCTCCTTGAGAAAAGCCTGGAATATGCCTTTTTCTTTTTTCTAGAGTGTAATTTGAGCGGAAGTGTGCAAAACAAATCAGCTTTTCATTCAACCACTCAATTCACTTTTTGTTTACATTAATGATACAATTCTCAGTAAGTAAACAAACTCTGCCCACTTCTTCTAGCGAGTTTCATTTCCCCTCATCCTTCTTAATCCTCATCCTTGGGGAGATGCTGTCCTTCAACCGTAGATTTCCTTCTCCTGAGATTTTTCTGTGCTGAAGTGAACGGCTGCTGTGTGATGAGCACGTTTCTGTGGGTAGTCCCTCACTCACCATCTTTCTCCAGATGGCCCCTCTGGCCGCGCCTCCTGTCTTCTTGTTCACTGCCCTTGGGGGACAAGCCTGGCTCCACATCGTCCGTCATGCTGGGTGAGGGGCTGGATGTGGAGCAGCACCAACACCAAACAGAAATTTTTCTCACACTTGAGAGTTTCTAGTTACTGTGACAGTTGGCTGTCCACTGTTTCACATGGAATAGTTTCTTTCTTGTTCTTTATTTATTCTTTCCTGTTACTATAATTTTAATGAAAAAGTTTATGAAGCAGATTGGTTTTTCCACCCAGTTATTCATACACTTTTTTTGTGTTTGGTTTTTTTTTTTAAAAAAAAAAACAACAACCCACATTTTTGTGTGTATGTGGGTGTGTGGGTTGTTGGGGGTTTTTTTATACTGGTTTACTTACAAAGTTTGTATACTTTTTTTTTTCCACAGAAGATCTTTCATCTTTCCTTTACCCATCGCTTCCTCCACCCATCAAATTGTGTCTCCTCTTCTCCTTGGATCCTCATACTCGTTCTACAATAGTGGTCTTATACAGGATTTGTCCTTATGAGACTGAGTTCATTTAGCATAATGCTCTCCAGTCCCTCCCATCTTAGGTACTAATTTACAAACTCATTACTTCTTGCTGCATAATATTTCATTGTGTGACTGTACCATAATTTCTCAATCCATAATGCTGCTACAAACATTGGTGTACAAGTTTCCATTTGTGCCTCAGTTCTCATTTTCTCTGGGTGTGTTGCAAGGAGTGGAATAGCTGGGTCATATGGAATTTCTATGTTCAACTTTTTGAGGAAGCGCCAAACTGCCTTCCAGAATGGTTGTACCATTTTACAATCCCACCAACAGTGTGTAAGAGCACCTATCTCTCCACATCCTCTCTAATATTTATTACTTGCTACCCTGCTAAACTTTGCCACTGCTACTGGGGTGAGATGGTATCTCATTGTGGTTTTGATTGGCCAATGATTTTGAACATTTCTTCATGTGTCTGTTGGCCATCCACATGTCCTCCTCTGTAAAAAGTCTTTCCATGTCTCTTGCTCATTTTGTAACTGGATCATCAGTCTTTTTCTTCTGAAGACCCAAAAGTATTCTGTAAACTTTAGTTATGAGACCCTTTTCTGAGATGGTATTGCCAAATGTTTGTTTTCTTTTGCACATATTTTATGTTACTGGAGCTATTTCTAACTTGTATGTCAGACTCATAGTTTTGGGGTTTTTTTGCTTTAAAAAATGATTTTGAAGCAGCCTAGTGCACCACGGCCTGATAACTGTCCCCAGTGGCCTAGTGATTAAGCACTGGGTTGCTAACTCAGTGTGGGCTCCTTACACCTGTCAGCCGGGTACTCTTGAAAGTACAGCCCAGAAACCCTGCAGGGCAGCTTCCTCTCTCCTGTGGGGCTTCAGAGTCAGCAGCTCCGTGCCAGTGACTTCAGGTTTACTGAGCGGAGAGCCACACACTGTACAATTCCCCATTGAAACCTGTGTCTCGGTGGCCTGCACGTCATCATGGGGCACTCGCACATGGACCCAGGAGTAAGGAGGCCCTTGGGGGAGGGGAGGAGCAGTGCCAGTTGGTAAGCAGTCACATGCCAGGAGCCCACCCCCACCAGGTACCCTTTGGGAGAGCTAGGCCAGCCTTCAATGCTCATGAGCATCCATTCTGCCCTGCAGCCTCTCTAGTTGAGTTGTGGCAGCAGGAGTATGTGTGGTTTTCATCTTTTCCAAGCAATTCTCCCAGAGGCTCCCCAGGTCTGGTGTACAGGAAGAATCAGGCTTATCTGTTCCACACAAGGGGGCAGCTCCTCTGCTGCACACGAGGGGGCGGCTCCTCTGCTGCACACGAGGGGGCCAGCTTGTCTGGTGTGAGGGGGCAGCTCCTCTGCTGCAGTGATGGGACCTTCTTGTGTCTTTGCCAGGTGGGGCGGCTCCTCTGCTGCACACAGGGGGGCAGCTCCTCTGCCGCACACGAGGGGGCGGCTCCTCTGCTGCACATGAGGGGGCCAGCTTGTCTGGTGTGAGGGGGCAGCTCCTCTGCTGCAGTGATGGGACCTTCTTGTGTCTTTGCCAGGTAATGACAACTCAGATATTGATCTCCAGGAAGATGATGAATCCTACAGTGAACTGGAAGAGCATCGGCTGACTCAGCCACGCATGGCCATCGAGGTGCTCATGCAAGGTACCCCATGAACCTCACTCCACCTCAGTCAGGGCAACCATTGAGGTACACGTGCAAAGTACCCTCCAGCCTCCTGCCCTTCTGACTGCCACGGGACCACAGTGCCTGGGTGTCAGGCCACTGAGGTCTGCAGGCACTATGCGAGGGGCCCTTGTTATGGCTCTGTCATTTGTCGAGATTTGGCTCTCCCTCAGCCTTGGTGGTGTAATGGCTAAAGCATTGAGCTGCTGTCTGAGGGGCTGTGCAAGAGCAGGATGAAGCAGTTAGCTCTGTGGGGACCACAGCCCAGGAAGGCCAGGGCACCTCTGTCTGGCAGGGTGGCTGTGGCCAAACAGTCTAAGGGGCACTGGTAGTTGTTCCTTTGGTTTCGATCGGGGTAATGAGCCCATTGCTGTGGCATCATTCCAGCTCATAGTCTGCTTCACAACAGAGTGCAGACATTGTGTTATCTGCACTGGGAGACCACCGCATGTGTAACTCAATTGCGTTGTTCCCTTGTCTGTATCCAAACCCTTGCAGCCCCAGTCTGCCAGTACCTGAGACATTTACAGACTCAGTCTTCTCTATCTTGTGGATTAACTCATGTTTTAGATGCACTAACATTGAAGACCCAGCTGTCGTTATTTATTACATTTCTCATTTCACAGGATAACTAGGTCCTCCCATTTCCTGTTTTTCTTTGCCTTTCCCCCACTTGAATGATTCTTCATCATAACTTCTAGAAAGCCAGCTTGGAGGGTGCCGTGAGTCCAAACCAGCTTGGCAACAGTTGGTTGGAGAGTTTCGTGCTTTGAGTGACAGTTTACACAACAGCTTAGGGTCCCATCCAATGATTCCTGCACAGGTTACCCGTGATCTTGGCCACATTCTGCATGATGAGCACCTTATATGCTCATGAGTCCTTTCTGTGTTCAAGCGTCTCATTTCCCCCGCCCTTACCATTCTCATCTTTGTTTAAGGTATTTGTGGGCCATGTGCTCTTAATTGTTATTCTTGGGTTTTGTGCCAGTTTGTTACTTAGTGCCAAGGTGATGTGACGTCAGTTTCAAGTCTAGCTTTGTATCGTATCTCAGTAAGTCCTCTGCTCCCAGCCAGTCTGGTCTGTGGTGTTTTAATTTAGGAATTCTCTCTTTCTGTGTCTGTGGCTTTTGTTTTTTGCTTTTTTCCACTTGGAGCAGGAGGAGATTGCCCCTCCATCTCCAGTGGAGCACCTAGTGGTTTCGAACCAAGCACCTTCGGGATTGCAGCACAGCTTCTTGCCACTAGGCCATCAGAACTCCTTTTGTGTCTGTTTCTCAAGGTTTTCTTCCATGTTTTTCTGACTGTCAGGGTCCATCTGTCATGGGTTAGAACTGTTTGTTGATAGTGATATCTGAGCACCATGTCGTTCATTGACTTTTGAATGGCTTGATGGCATGATTTGAGGTCATTTTTCCTGGTAGGCACCGTCCATCAGTTTTTTGGCTCATAGCACCCTTATGTCACAGAGTAGAACTGACCTATGGGGTTCACTAGGCTGTAATCAATGAGTTAGAGGAGAGGAAGACCCTCAGTGACAGTGGGTATGAGCACAGTAGGGATTGTTGAGGTTGTGTGAGATGCTGTGCATGGACGAAGCTACAGTTTTCACCAGAGCAAAGCCATGGGTGGGTCTGAACCTCTATCCTTTCAGTTAGCCACCGTCTGCCTTAACCACAGCTTCCCGGTTCTCCTCATGGTCAGGGGTCCTCACTGTCCCCCATGCCCATCTCATCCCCAGGGAGACCCAGCAAGCGCATCGTGGGCACCATGCAGGGTGGAGATTCAGATGATGAGGTGAGTCGTGCAGCCCCCTTTGTCACTCGTTTCCTGTCTTGGCTGACCACCTGGACTAAACTGTCCAAGGGGCCACCAGTGAGGTCGGTCAAGACCGCCTGACTCAGCTGGCAAAGCTCAGGCCAGTCCGGTGCCTGGCACCCCTTGCTTGGTGCGTCACAGGTCTGGCCTCTTGGGAGCTGGTCTGTTTCCTGGCTTGCTTCTTTCCATGTGAATGAAAGTGTCACCCTGTCTTTTCCCACTTCTCACTCTTCTTTCCATTCTCACTTTCCAAAGATGGGAGCAGCAGCAGCTCGCTTAGGTAAAAGCAGGACTGCCAGCTCCAAGAAGCAGGTTGGTTCTGTCACCCTGTCCCTCTGTCTGTGTCTGAACTGGGGATGGCTCATCCTGGAAGTGATGTAGGAATCTGCTTAGAATGGAGCCCACATGCAGCTGGCAGAGTGACGGGAGAAGCCTGTGCTGGGGAGGGAAGCTAGAACATAGCCCACAGAGAAAGGGCTGTGGGTAGGGTCCTGTAGAGAAGAGAGAGTGTGGGTGGGGTCCCCCAGGGAAGGAAGGGGTCCTTCAGAGAAGAAGGGATGTGGGTGGGGTCCCCCAGAGAGGGGAGGGGTCCTGTAGAGAGGACAGGGTGTGAGTGGGGTCCCCCAGAGGGGAGGGTGTCCTCCATAGAGGAGGGGTTGTGAGTGGGATCCTCCTGCAATTATGGTATAAGGCCTCTCTTCAGCTCTGTCAGGTCAGGGAGGGTAGGCAGATCCTGAGAGCACCTGAGGGTCAGACACCAGCACCTGAGGGTGACCACATGGGAAAGGAAACAGAGTAAGAAGGCAGTGTCAGGTGGTTGCTCCTGTTCACTTGTCCCTCCAGCCATACTTTCTGTTAAGGTCCTGGGCAGTACTCAGGCTGAGGGTCATCTTCATCAAGACATGGGGACTGGAGACCAGTTGTACCCAGAGCAGGGCCCCAGGGCTTGACCACAATAGGAGCACAGCTTCATGTGGTTGTGCAGAGGCTCGTAGTAAGTGCCACTAGCATCCGCTGTGGCAGGATGTAGGACTCTTGAGTCCGCAGGACTCTGGCCAGCACACCCAGAGTGTGTATGCAGAAGTATTCTGTGAGAAGCAGACAGATTACGTCCAAGTAAGGGGGACTCTAGGAGTCAGGGGGGCAGTAAAAAATGGTTTCTCCACCTTGCCCACAGAGAACAGAAATCCAGCCAGCGTGGCCAGTGCTGCTTCTGTTGAGCCCATGTGGCCATTGTCCCCGCTGGGCCTCACTGTTGTCACATGTGTCTCAGGGGCTTGTTCCCTTATGTACACTGCAGCATTGGGGCCTGTGCACCTTGAATACATGCATTTGTTCAGGGATTGTGAGTACAGCAGTGAGGGGTTACATAGCCCCCCAATCCAGTGCAGTTCCCTTGTGGTGGGAGACCAGCAACAAGCAGACATATCAGGAGTGGTTGGGTAAAGGGGTCATGGCAACACGTGTCAGGCTGCTGGTTGAAAGGTCAGCAGTTTTTCTCCACCACAACTTGGCAGGAGAAAGGTAGGCGGTCTTCCCCTGGAAGGATCTAAAGCCCAAGAAGCTGGAGGGATGCCAGCCAGCCATCAGGACATCTCCACGGCTGAGTTTAGTTTAGTTTAGTTTCGTTTAGTTTCGTTTTTTGGGGGGTCTTTGGGGGAGGCAGACAGTGATGGGGACGAGGAGGGCCTGATGTCCTTGGATCGGGAGTCCACTGAGGATGTTTGAGCACAGGCCAGGATGAAGGAGGGCATTGTTCCCTGTATACTTGGGGCCCAAGGTGCTGGCCTGACGAGGTGGGAACTCGGGGCCAACCTTGTTGAGCTCTGGAATGAGACGACACCACTAGCATTCTCCAAGTGAGTCTAGTGGTCAAGGACCACCAGACATTCACAAGAAGCTGGAGCCTGTAGCTCAGTACACTGCATTTAGGAATGCTAACTGAAAGGTCAGCAGTTTGAACCCACTGGCTGCTCTGAGAGAGGAAAGTGAACAGCCTTGGAAACCTCAGTTGGAATGGACTTGAGGCTGGAGGGTCGGATGTGGCCCAAGGTCAACAAAGCTGGTGGTGGTGATGGTGTCAGGCATGTGAAGTGTGCTTAGTGTGTGTCCTGCTTGGAAGGGTGGAGGGTCAGCGCAGGAAAGGATGGCCCTGTGTGAGATGGACTGGACTGACAGCTCAGAGAGGGTGAGGTTGGCTCAGGATAGGACAGAGTTTAGAGCAACTGTTCATACGGTCACTGTGGGCTGTAGTTGACTCAGTGACACATAAATAAATGCAGTAACAAGAGGTGCTGTGGCGTAGACTCAACAGCTGGTTCCAGGAATCAGCCATAAGTAGATGGATAGAAGGGGGGGGGGGTGCATACGTGCGTGCTCTCCTTGGTTTTTCACACGTGTGCCACGCTCTGCAGGTGCTGTGTGTTTTACAAATGGAAGGTTTGTGGCAACCCTGCATCAAGCAAGACTGTCGGTGTTTCCAGTAATGTGTTCATTCCTGTTTGCATATCACATTTTAGAGGCCTTGCCACATGTCGGCATGCTGTCCCACAGTGGTGTGGAACACAACTTTTCTGTGTGCTGAGAAACAAGGTCACTGTGACTCACTTGAATGTCATATTGACCTTAGGAGGTGTCTGACTCTGAACAATTGATTCACAGTGTCTCCAAGACCTGCCTGTAAGAGAGTGTGTGTGTGTGTGTGCACGCGTGCACCATATTGGGTGGGAGCGGGCTAGTTGGCATGACTCAGCATTAAAGGGCTTCCTGGGCCATTTTAGAACCAAGATGGTCGTTGTCAGTGGATGAATTTAGATCATCTCGAGGGTGAAAGAGAGTGTTGCCTTGTCTTTATTCCTTACATCTCCTTCCAGTGTTCCTTTCATTCACAATGTGGCAACAGAACACCCTCAAAACCAAACAAGCTCCTCCTCACCTCAGGCCCCAGCCCTTCATGCTCTGCAGTGTGTGTCTGAGTTCTTGGGACCAGAGCCTCATGCAGTGAGCACACAAGGCTGCCCTGGCGTCTCAGGGACCCTCATGCAGTGAGCACACGAGGCTGCCCTGGCGTCTCAGGGACCCTCATGCAGTGAGCACATGAGGCTGCCCTGGCGTCTCAGGGACCCTCATGCAGTGAGCACACAAGGCTGCCCTGGGTTCTCTGACAAGAACCTCATGGAGTGAGCACACAAGGCTGCCCTGGGGTCTCAGACAAGAACCTCATGGAGTGAGCACACAAGGCCGCCATGGGGTCTCCTGGGATGGTGGTGCTGGCGGCCTGCCTGAAGTTCCAGGCCCAGGACATTGACAGGTCTAGACAGGAGCCTTTTCTTACCAGCGATGTATAGACTTGCCCCTGACAGCCTGATCACCCACCCATCTGCCAGGTGCTTCCTTCAGAGGGCGTCTACATCTCCTGTGTTCCCAGGAGCTGGGGGAGGACAAGAAGGCAGGACCTCTGCCAGCCTGAAGGCATCAGTTCTTCCTGTTTTCTCCTGCAGGATGACTTAGAGGACAGTGAAATTGGCATGGAGGATGATGAGGAAGATGACGATGAGGACGAGAGCATTGCCCTTTCACCCACAAAGCCTATTTGCAGGATCCGCAAACCCGAAGCCCTGGATGAGAGTGACAATGACTTCTGAGCTCCCAGGTGGGGACCTAGGCAGAGGGAGACCCTCCACTGTAGGTACATGGGCAGCACAAGTTGAGGTGCTGATGGAGCCTGCTGGATTCTTGATCACTGAGGCCTGACCTCTCCCACTGTTGGCCCTGCATGTCCCATGGAGCTTAAATAAGAGCCAAAGTGAACCCCGCCAGCACATTTTTGGTTTTGTGTTATTTGACTCCTAAAACTGGGCCATGCTTGTGTTAACAGTGATGCACACAGGACAAGAAAACTGGATGAGTAAGAGTTCTTTATTCAGTACAGAATGAGAAACAGTCCCACGGTGGGCAAGTCCATGCTCCATCTGGTATCAAAGCTGTAAGCCTTTACAAGAGACTTAAATCTCTCCTGTGGAGCCCCTGGTAGATCCAAACTGCCAGCCTTTCATCCCCCAACACCTAGTGCATTGCACCACTGGGTCTCTGTGTTACAAACCTGGTCTGGAAAATAAAAAATCAGACCTGCTGCTCTCGGCCAGTGAGGATTCTCTAGGACAGAACACCTGCTGCCCCTTAGGATTTACCAGGTTGTACTCTTTTCTAGAAAATGATACCATTTTCTCTCTATTGTAAGTTCCCTCTGTGTTGTTTTTTATTTTTATTGTGACTTTAACAAAGGTTTACAGAAAGGTTGGGTTTTCATTTATTCCTTGTTGCACATTTTTCTCCCTCTCTCCATGTTCTTAAGGGAAAATGTATAGAGCAAATAAATTTTCTGTTAAATTTTTCCTATGTGTTTTGCTTAATAACAACTAATAATAATGGGCACTTTGTAACTACTACTTCCCACTTCCTCTCTGTGATTCTGGTTTCCGGTCTTCCTTTTAGCCCAACATTTCCTGCTTTCTGATAATTTTTCCTGGATAAATGCTGCCCTTTTCATCCTGCATGGTTGGTTGTTCTAAGGCATGTTGTTGGTTGTTCTAAGGGTTCACCTTAAAGGTCTGTCGGTCCAAAGTTGAGCCTTCAGGGTGAGTTCAAGTCCAGGCTTGAGAAGTGAGAAAGGGCCATAAGAGGCCCTACTGTCTGCTGAACCAGGAAACCTGGCCCGTTTTTTAAGTGTTTGAGGTTTTTTTTCTTCAAAGGCTCTTTTTCCTGAGGAGCAACTGATGGGCTTGAACCACCAGCCTTTTGATCCGTAGTCAGATGTTTTCACCACTGTCCCAGTGGGCAACTCAAGCACTGTGTAAGTCTGACTGCTGTGTGGCCTTAAGACTCAGTGGCCCAGGCCTGGGGCTGGAGCTGGTTTGTGGCATCACTGGGATCCACCTGACTTGTTCACCACCCATGCAGCATCAGGTGCTTTTGCATGCTCACCTTCATTTTCTTATTTCCCTCCATATGCTGATACCACAGACCAAATGGATGGAAAGCAGTTTTCCTGGCTCCACATTAAAAGGATGTCTTTTCCTCTCAGCAGACATCGCTGACAATGTCAGAGGCACCTTGGGTCATAGCCTCATTTACCCCTTCACTACTTGAACTGCACTGGGAAAGTGCTGGCCTTGGTTACTCTGTCAGAAATTCCTCGCTTCTGTTTCCCACTAGCCATCATTTCTTTGCTGAATTGTTTCCTTGTCCAAACACTGGTGAGACTTTAGTCCACCACCAAGGACAGGAAACAGGTTTCTTGCATCTCCCTCCTTGGGGAGGGAGTGACTGAAGGAAAACATGAAGGTACAGATTCTTATTTCTTATTTACACTATAATCCAAAATTGAATTTTGCAGAGCAACTTTAGAAGATTCACTCTGATGTGAAGGGAGAAGTGACAAGTGGGATGGAATTATTTTGTTCATTGAGAAACACTAAGTAAACCCCCTGGCACTGAATCCATTCTGGGTCAGGGTGACACGCCGTTCAGTTGTAAATCTTTACAGGAGGGGACCAACTGCCCATCTTTCCCCTGTAGAGTGGCTGGTAGGTTCAAACTACCAACCTTTTGGTTCCTCCTGAAAAGCACAAAGTCATTTTTCTTTATTTCACAGTTCCAAGGTAAGAAGACTTTTGGAGCTGCTTACACTTTTTGTTTTATACATGTCCAGCTTAGTAACATTGATGATGTTCTCAGAGTTGTGCAACCATTCCCACCCACCTCCTCTGGGTTGTTTCATCCTTAAGTAACATAAAATTGCTGCCCCACAAGGTTCCTGTCTAACTAACCTTTGGAGTTGTTTGTTTTGTTCTCATGTAGATCTTGACAGCGACGTTATTCACAATAGCAAAGAGATGGAAGCAAGCCAAGTTCCCATCAACAAATGAATGAAGAGAAAAATGATAGTATATTCACACAAAGGAATACTATACAGCACTGAAAAACAATGAACTCATAAAACATTACACAAAATGTGTGACTCTTGAGGACAGTATGCTGAGTGAAATATCTAAGTCATAAAAGACAAATACTACATAATGCCACTGTTAGAAAACAGGACTGACATGGTGGTTGGGGAGAACTAAGAAGGGATAAACAATGAACACTGCATTGGAACAGATGAAGGAAAAAGCTATTTAAAAAGAGTAAATGATTAGGAATTATTTTTTGTGACAACAGTCCAGAATAAGAGGTGTATAGCAAAGTGGACTGGGGGAGGGCAGCGGAAATTATGCAACAATAAATAAATATTAAAAAGACTGGGGTGGGTAGGGAAGAAAATGTACAACAATGAGTAAATGCAAATCCAAGATTTCTGTAAACTTGAGTTAAATTCACTAATTTTTTTTAATTGGGGAAAACATTGGGGGTTCAAGGAGGTGAGGGTTGGGGGCAGAAGGGTGAGGATGGGCAGGGATGAAAATTGCAGGGGTGCAGTTGCAGAGCTGTACAATTTGGTTGGTTGGGGAGCAGGTGAAGGAAATGAAAAAGATCCAGTGGGGACCAGATGCACAGGGGAATGGTAAGCATATTCCAATGGTGATTAAACCAACTGTCTTACTGATTTGGGAACTGGATGCAGACTCTCTGGCTTCTTCATGCTGAACAGGGGTGTAGATGTGAAGGGGGAAAGGGAGGACACTATCTCCTCACTGGTGGTCTTGGGTTAAAGCTGCTTGCCTTCTTGTTCTGTTAGAAGATGTTTTCCTGACATTTGCTCCCCTCTGGACTGCAAAGTGTTTTCCCAGGTGGGTCCAGTGGGGATGGCTGGTTGAACCCAGAGGATCCATCCTTCTTTGCTTCCTTAGCTGGCAGTTGTATTTCCTTTTTGTCACTGGCACTGGGTTCAGGATCAGGTCTAGAGTAAAACTCAGTGTTAGGGTTACCTGTAAGAAAGGGAGCAAACCTAGAGAGAATAAACTTGTGAGTTACAAATAGAAGGGCTTTGGGGGGTGTTACTTTCAGGTTTACTGGGGGGTGGCAGAAAGTAGCCTAGATAAAATTCTCTCGATACCCTAGGCATTTTTTTCTACCCAGGGGTCAGATGGCACAACCTGGGGACTGAGGAGCTCACCCTGAGGGCCGTGACGGCTCGCCCCAAGCCGGGGGCTGGCTGGTACATCACTCCTCCAATTGCCCCCACCCCAGTCTGGACCCCTTGCCTGACCAAAGACAATGTAGCCAGGGACAGCGTCCCAAATTCCAGCACCCCCACTTTTACCCCCCATAAATGGTCATACTGTAATTTGAAGTAGGTGTCACTGCCCTCCCCCTTTTTAAATGGAAAAGGGAAGCTGAGAGTTGTAAACAGACTCCCCCCAGGTCTAAACAGCTTTTGGCAGAAGCATTCAACAGATCAAAATATGTAGTGCATTTAGGATGTTGGTCCTTTTGGTCATGCTGCTGTTAATTGTCATCAAGTAGACAACTCACAGTGACTTTCAGCAATCCATTGTATTGGTGATCATCTTCTCTGGCCTGTCCAAGAAAACCCAAACCTGCAGGCGGCTGAGTGGGTAATATTTTTTTTTTTTAAAAAAAGCAGAATGCTCTAGACAGACATCCTTTACTAGTTGTTGTTGTTGATTGCTGTTGATTCAAGTATGACTCATAGCGACTCTACGAACAAAAGATCTAAAGCCTTTCTATAACTATCAACATTTATCAAAGTTCATAGAGGTTTCCAAAGGCATGCTGTTTAGGAAGTGGATGCCAGTCCTTTACTATTTAAGTTTGGTTTTAAGAAGACTATCTTTTTTTTAAGATCTAATTTTTGTGTACCAGAAAATCTGGATCCCATGAGAAATTGATGTTTTCTTGTGAATTTATCCCCCTCTTGGTGCCATGACAAAGGAGGTCATTGTTCATGGGAGCACTCAGCCATACATTCATATCATCATCCTTCTCTTGACTCTCCACCTTCCTCTCTTACTCCAGGCAAATACTGGCCAGTTGCTGTACCTTGGATGACCTGCTTAAGCTTTTTTTTTTTAAGTGAGTTTAAACACACTTTATTTTTAGACAACTATGACATTTTTTTCCCTTTAAAAAAAATGCCTCCACTCCAAATAAATGAAGGTCAAAATTAAAATGGAGAGCTCAAGATGGTATCTCAGTCCCGTTTGTTGAAGTCCTGGTGTGGTGATGAAAAACAGCAGTCAGATCAGATGACAGGTGATGGATCCAAAGAAGTGCCAAATTTGTTAACATTTCTCCATTTCTAAACCATCCTTAAAGAAAATCATGTATGGAGTCACACCATCCTCACGGTAGTCCAGCAGAGCAAACATGCCATCTGGATTCATGTTTTCACCAATAAAGAACTGGTAGTTTTTGAAATTAGCAAGGATGTGCTTGATCTGTTCTGCAGCCCCCGTCATAAAAGGTTTTACTCTTTCTGGTTTTTGTTCTTCAAGTTTGCCTTTGAGTGATTTCATGTAATCCTTGATGTACTTCTTGTAAGCTGCTTTTGTGAAGCTGGTTTCCTGCAAGTGATGGTTCATGACGATGTCAACACCAGTGATTACTGTGGTTTTGGTTTCTTCACAATCGGTGCCTTCAGCAGAGGCGTTTCCACCAATGAGCGAGTCAATGTTACCCTCCG